GAAAGTTTTTGTTATGCTTTGTATTTTTGTGAGACAATATTTGTGTTGCACAGTTCAAATATGAAGATGAAAGCTGCTAATGTGAATACAATACAGATCAGATACAGTTCATTTCCTAAATGTGCACCTTATTGGATATTTATTTTATTTTTATTTAATTTTATTTTGATTTAATTTTAGGTACATTTTAGTTTTTTATTGATAGGCTGCAGCAGTATTGACTTCTTATTTAAGAAAGATAGTCATACCTTGTTCAGTAAGCCACTGTTTAATGAAGAAGAAAAGCAATTCATGTTTGGTTTCTTTTACCCCCGCTGTACCGAAAACGTGCTGAAACGTTACTTCAATACCGAGGTACGTACCAAACTGTGATATTTGTGTACCATTACACCCCTACTTTTTAGTCTCTGTGGAAAAGTTGATCATAAATAAATAAATTTAGCACAAACTACAAAGCAGTGGTCGCCAATAGCTTGCTGGGACTCAATGAGTAGCTCGTATAACACTTAATAGGAATCATAAGAATCATACCTGCCTTGTGGGAAGTTTTTTATTTATTTATTTTAAACTATATCAGAATCTTTATCTTGCTTTGTATGTGACCTTTGCCTCCTTCCCCAGCAGACGATAATCGTTGGTCAGTCACGGTCAGGTATCGACACTGGGTTACTTGTCTGTTATTGTTGAATACTGATAATAATCACACAAGCCTAATGTGCAGTGTATAGCTTTCCTGTTTGAATCACAAATGTTTGGTTTCTTGTCCAGGGATTCAATGGATTAGTGCCCCATCTTGGGTTGTTCCCTGCCTTGTGCCTTTAGCCTCCATGATGGGCTCCGGACCCCCCGCAACCCTGAATAGGATAAACGATTACAGAAAATTGATGGATGAATGGATGTCCTGGGATTAGAATAACTAGTTCATTTTCTGATTTGTTTTTGGCATTCATGTCTCACTGGCAGCAAACATTGTTTTTGAGAAAGCATTTACTTAAGAACTTCCTGATGTTCATGATTCCATGTTTTCTATTCTACTCCATGCCAGGCGGCATGAAAACAAGTCATGCATGCACACAAGTGAAAAACTAAATTCACTGTACAGCTAGTAAACATTATTCTAACTCAATAGAGTTCTACTCTCATCTGACTATAACTCACCATTCAAATTAAAATCATTGTCATGTGGAAATATAGCTTGTGGAAATACTGAATGTTCTGGTAAATCTCGGGGCAGTTTTGTAACCATCTTACAAAAGACAGTTTTGAAGGTCATCATTAACTTGTGACACCAGATTGCTGGTTGATTTTTTTTTTCCTTCCCATTCAGTATTCTTTGGGTTGTACTTGGGTTTATCTGGGAGCTCTAGGACAGCATGACGATGATTCACTGTGTTCAATATTTTTAGATTAATAGTGATTATAGTGTGAAAAATCTTTTCTCAGGTATTTCTCTGCCAAAAATATGCCTCACTTTTTAATTTTTGTATGCCATTTTGTTCAGGGTGTGAAAAGCAAATGGTTCAGTTTTAAAGTATATCTTTTTCTACTGTGTTTTGAAATAACCTTCATGACTTGACATGTGAGCAGAGCTTCTGCCATAGCACTCCAGACATTATGTGGCGCTTACCTTTGGCCTAAAAACTGCAGACTGTCTGCTGCACTGGGCTGACGAGGTTACAACAGCAGTGCAACACCCCCATAAGGAAAAGCAGGAGTCTGGGCCTTGGCTGAGAAACAGTGGAGGTTACCTTCACTGGTGCCTAATCTTAGGCTGGAAATGTGTCTTAGGCAATTTAGGAGTAACTTTTTACCCAGTTTCTTAGGTCACCTTCCTGATTAAGGGACAAGGATGCATGCATTTGCATTGCATAAATTTATGGCAGACCCCATTCCGGGTCTTTTGTAATGTCCATTGCTGGTTTCTTAACATTTCTCAATGAATATCCCTCCTTAAAAGTTTCTGCAGTCTGTGTGAGTTTCTGGTTCTGTATTCAGCTCCCAATTAAGCTGATTTTTTGGGGGTATGGGAGAAGGTTAGACTAAATGATGTTTAGCAGGCTTATTCTCAGTCCTGAAGTTGCCAATTGTCAGTATTTCAAAAGGTTAATTGATACAACCAAGGTTAAGAGTAGAACAGCTCATTGGTGTGTAGCTGATGTGTAGGGAACTGGGCCAGGTCAGTGTTGTTGTAAAATGTTAGCCATTTGTAGCTATAGTATTGCTATTATGTGATTTGATCATATTGACTCAAATAATCGATGATAGATTATTGAATAAGTATTACATTTGTGTATGTAGCGCACCCACAACAGAAAAACTGACTACTTGTTAATAACGGCTGTGGGGAGTGGCATGGGATCTATCACAGAGAGGCTTCAACGCATGGCATTGTTCAGGGTTCTACAGTTCTTCATGTGGCAGCAAGGTGATATGGCACAGTATCCACAGTGATAGAAAAAAATAAATGGAGTATTAAGTGAGATCAATATGACTAACACATACACACTGATAGCTGGGCTCGTTTCGGCCCAGTCAGAGAAGGGCAGACCTGCAGTCCGGCCTGGCTACTGCTCCACATGGTGCTCATCCCAGCTTTTGTCTTTAGCCTGCCTTGTGCTGATAAGGTTTATCAGGTTCAGACAGGCCTTCTTGCTCACCCTCAGTTCCTCAGAGTTGTGCTTGGTCCATCCCCTTTTCTTAGAAACCTGTGTACTAGTTATCAGTGTTGGTTTGTACATCATCTGCATGCTGTCAGAGTACCTTGCAGTTCATTCTCAGCCAACCTTGTGGTTTTTCTCTTTCCCTTTGTGAAGCTTTATCCTTTTGTACTTTTTCAACATTCTTTCCCATTGGGTACATATGTGTCAGGCATAAGCTTTTCTAATTAGAAACTTTGTTGCAATTTATTGGGACAATTGAAGGTATCCATGCTCAGGTTTGCTGAAAAATGAGTCCCCATTCAGTGTTTCAGTTAAAGATTTAATAGACTTTCTCCTAATGTATAAGAATAGTATATAGTGAATTTGTTAGACAACTGGTGAAACTCATCATGGTCTCAACTACTAGGTTTTGATGTGTGCTCAGGAATAAGAAGGTGAGATCAGAGTGGGATGATGAAAACTGAGTCACTCTTGTATGAATGACTAAAGGGGAATTCCTGAGAAACCACCATCGCCTACTTAGCCATCAAATATGAAGCTCTGATATCTGGTAAACAGACTCTCACCTTTGGGACTCCCTGTCAAATAGAAACAGCACAGAGAAATTGCTGTCATGTTCTAATAAGAAATAAACGCAGTAGCTACAACCACAAAGCATCTCTCTGCGCCATGTGGTCTATTGGTGATGTTAATCTAATTCAGTTAATCCAGCAAATGAATCAGAGAACCTCTGAGTTAGTTTTCCATATGATTTGATATGGTGCATAAAACAGTTACATCTTTATACGATGCATAAATATATGTATAATGTTCTCTCTGTGCAAAATTCATGATAGGTGAAAATGAAATGTCTACAGTAGGTCATATTGTAGAAAAATTTTAGTCCCTTTGATCCATCACACACAGGAAGGAATCCACATCCCTTCATTGATGCACATCATGCAGTTGTTTTTTCATTATTCTGTCTTAATCGGGGATGTGATACCTTTCTTTTTAAACACCACCCATTTACTTTAGGTCATATCTTGCTGCCAAATCATACGTTGAAGATAGCCCATTCTAAAAGCAGCGCTGCTGACTGTTTCCTCTTTACTAAGAATTCAAGGAAGAGCTGCAGATACCACTGAGGCAGCTGTTTGCAGATCTCTCTGTGGTGACTTGTATGAAAAGGCCTTTGCCTGAAACACTGCCATTCGAAATATGTTGCTAAACCCGCAAGGGACTCATGATCAGCTTGCAGTTCTCAAAAGCTAACTAATATATATTATTAATATTAATGAATCCGTGGTGTGGCATATGCATCCGTCTTCCATACCACATATCTAGTACACGGGTGCAATGTGTATTTATAAATAGCATGAAAATGTTTTTAAAAGAGTCTGAAAATGTCTAAGTGTAGTCAAGGAACCGGTCTGCAGGGAAGCACGTACTGGTCTGCAGGGAAGCACGTACTGGTCTGCAGGGAAGCATGTACTAAGGAAAAGTCCTTTGGGATGCTAAATGGTTTTGCTCAGCTTAGAGGAATCCTTTCTCAGTATTTGATATATATAATTGGTTTTATTGGGATTTTTATAGCCCAGTCTATTGAAGTATCACAATCATAAGCAGCTGAAAAAAATAGCACTGTGGTTTCATGCTTCTTGCCATTTTTTTCTTCTCTAAATGTGTCCTCATTGCAGGGTTACACCACAAGAGAGGAAATTGACTAAGAATTTCTCCGAATTTCAGTAGCTGTGTCATGTGACTTTCTGGAAGACGCTTTGGTTTTGAGACTCATTTGCATATCATGTGGGGGGAGTCTTAGTATGGTGTAGTACCCCAGCAGAAAAAATACTGTTTACATCTGTGGTTTCTGTCACCCAGGCTAACAGAGGAACCTGTGCGTGTGTGCATGCCTGTCTGGAGCCCGCCAAAAAGTTAGTCTGACGAGTTGTGCATATCCCCCCTCTCTGCGCTCTGATAGCATTTAGTACCTACACAAATGGATCTTTTATTTGGTTGACTGAAAAAATTAGGAAATTGTGCTGTTTGCTATTCAGTTTTGGAAACATGAAAATTATAAGAAGCTTTACTTTGCTCCAGTTTGTACTGAATTTCATTACTGTGAGGATAAGAATGTCCCTGTGCACCTGCTGTTCCCATCCACTCTGTCCCCAAGTCCAGTTTGTGCATTCGGTGCAAAAAAAATGAAAGCGTTCTCTTAGTTAAATCTCCCAGGGGTTTCCACATTTGAATGTTGTTGAAAAACAATTCCGATAAACTGACTTGGAATATATGTAAAGAATCGTCCATGTTACAGCAGATTTTGCTTGAAGCAAATACTTTTTTTTGTGTTTGCAGCTGATCAAGTATATGGAGACCAAGATATGCATGAAGTGGTCCGAAAACACTGTATGGACTACCTGGTGAGTCATCTCTCTACATCGGTTATCAGAAACGGGGTTTCGGAATTATGGTAGTTTCTTTCGTACCGCTGTTTGGATGGAGCCTCACTCATTGCTCTTCAACTGCAGATGAAGAATGCAGACTACTTTTCAAACTATGTGACTGAAGACTTCACCACATACATCAACAGGAAGAGGAAAAACAACTGTCATGGGAACCACATTGAGATGCAGGCAATGGCGGAGATGTACAACCGGCCTGTAGAAGTTTACCAGTATGGCACAGGTGTGGAGTGTTGAGTGAATGGCAAGATGGTCACATGATTTGCAGGGAAGATACTCAGCATTAATAAGGGCAAAAACCAGAGCGCTTCGTTGTAACTGGCACTTATAAGGCACGCCCATAAGGCAGCCATGCTCCTTTTTCTTATTCAGATACTTAGATACTGCAATCATTTATTACATTTATGAAATTAATTTTTTTTTCTTCTGTATTTTCTTCTCAGAACCAATCAACACGTTCCATGGCATCCACCAGAACAACGATGAGCCAATCAGAGTTAGCTACCATCGGAACATTCACTACAATTCAGTTGTGAACCCTAACAAAGCCACTATTGGAGTTGGTCTAGGGCTTCCAGCTTTCAAACCAGGGGTGGGTGCCTTCAATTAGAGCATACAGATTCCATAGATCTCTGAAACCAAACAGAGAAATTTCATTGTTAATCATTATGGTGGAGCAAATGACTCCAATATATTCGTTATGACCATGAAATTATGTGAAATTTGTCAGTCCAGCCTAGTGTCAGACATGTGGTATAGCTTCTTCCGCTATGTTCTTAAACCCTGGCACATACCTCCTTCGGTCTGCCCCAATGCACATATGCATACTTGCACTCACGCATGTCTTGCTGCATACATAAAAGGGTTATAGTGCAAAAGGGCTATGTCGAATGATGGAATACATTAAAACGGTGAGTAGCACTGAGGCTTTTCATTGGCTGATCGTCAGCCCATCCAGGCATGTGATTTGTCGAACGTGGTGAGGCCTGGTCAACACATTGAGAATCAGACACTTTTTCTAGGCTTCAGTTTTATTTGCAGAGAAGCAAAGTAAGAATTAGGTGACACTCCCTGGATCATCAAAGGCCTGAAGGGCTGGAAGCGTGGCAGGGCGTCCCCTGTCTCAAACATGCGCACATCAAAGGGAGCAGGGCTGAACTCACACAGGGGAAACATTCCACACTGTCCTGACTCTAAGGGGCCACCTCTTAGCAGCACACTGTCTTATTTGTACTGGAGAGACCCAGTGACAATGCACCCTAATGGCTTGTCGGTCTGCCAGAAGCTCAACTTCCATGTCAGATTAACCTGTGGGTGGAACGGTGCACCCACAATCACCAAACTCATAAAATCGGTTTTTCCCCTCATTATGTAAAAGTGGTATAGTCAGCATTTTAAGTATTCTCTGTTTGTTTTATGAATCCATTTGCAAAATAGCAAAATCTTCTATCCTCATGAAGTAATTGTTCAACTGTCTTATATATGTAGTTGTTATGTCTGTAAATATTGATGATATTCCTGAAGTCACTCTCGTGTTATGTTTGGCTTGGAAGCACCTTGCATCAGTTTGGTATGAACACTCAGCCACAGCCGCAGATCGGCACACATTCCTCACACATCAGTCGGAGGGTTATCCGCCCCTACACTCTTTCTGGGGGAACGCTGTGACGCTGTACTCCAAGTTCCATCTGGAGCCTTCACCTGGTTCCTGACGATAGGATGTCATGCTTTCTGTTTACATCATGCACACTTGTCATCTGTGAGGTTTTTGCGTGTCACACGCGTGTCTGGTGCCCAGCAGTATATATATATATATGACTATCTTGCTAAAACGGGCTGTGAGGTATGGATATTTCTGAGCCCTTTACTCATAAAATAGTGATTGATTCCTTAGTTCAACCCTTTCAGTCTTTCCCTAAATATTTCAAACAGAAACGCTATACTATGCTACAATAATGCATTTCTATTCATAATTTAAGTATAATTTTTAATGCTAGCAGTTATAAAGAAGCATTCATGCACATGTAATTATATGTATTTGTTATTCCCCAAAGTTAGTGGAAAGGAAAAGCCTAAAATGTGACTGGCCAGTGCTCAGAATAGCTCCCTTATGCGGTGAGAGCACGCCAGCAGGCAAGTGCCCAGTAAAAGCAGATTGTCTGAAGCTGCTGGCTCCGACGTTATCATCGCAGTGGTAGCTGTCATCAGCTGGCACAGCAGGGCTCCCTGTCTGGGGTCAGCCAGCTCTGCGAAGGAGAGAACCAGAGAGCACACAGCACAGACGGCCAGGATAAACTGCAGAGACACCCCCCTGTGGCAGGGAATTCTCTGGCGTGGGGTGCCCACGAGCCCCTGATCCTGGAAATGGGCAAAGGTTTGCTACATTCTGGTTGGGACACACTCTGTCCACCATGGGTCTGGTTGCTCAGTAGCCATGGTAACACTCCACTTATAAAAGCCGCCATTACAGTAAACGGTAACCTCACCGGAGCGACTAATTTTGCCTTTGAGCTGTTTTTCTCAACCCGGGCCTCGGGGACCCCACGACAGTCCACGTTTTTGCTCCCTCCCAGCTCCCTGCCAGACAGTCCACATATCACAGAGAGCTGGGAAGAGCAAAAATGTGGACTCTGGGAGTCCAACAGGATTCAAAGGACAGGATTGGTACTTGTTGTGGGGCTTCTAGAGAGGCAGAAATGTAACTCCTGCTATATTTATAAATAAGTCTGTAGCACTGCTCCTTTCTTATGTATTAAAGGAGGATGCAGATTTTTGATGAGCTGAGAATGAGGGGGTGTCATTCTGATTGAGATCACTGATGCTGATAAACAGTTCTTCTATTTTGCGTTTAAGAACCCCCCGTAGGTTTGCTTTGAAATATCAACATGTTTGTTTACTATGACATTTGGTGGAGCTCCATTTGCAAAGTACTTAAGTGTTTAATATCGCATTGAAAATCTATACATTGTATGACCAACCTTCTGTCATCTGTTGAAGGCTGGCATTAATTTATGTGTTTGTTTGTTGCTCATTTATCTGTCTGTCTGTCTACCTATGTATCTGTCTGTCTACCCACCTATCTATCTATTTGCAAAATTCTACCCAAAAGAAACAATTACTGACATTGCAATATTCTGGCTTGGCACTGTCAGAGCCCCATCTGTTACAAAAATGAGTCAGAATTTGTGTGTTTGTTTAAATTCCTCATGGAAAGTTGATAGGAATCTGTTTTTCTTGAGCTGTGATTAACAGCAATGAAAGAGTACAGTGTGGTGTTGCTGGATTATAGCAGACTGGTGGCTCTACCTCCCGCCTTTAAACCAATACTCAAAAGTCCTGTTTCCAGACGACAGTGTATGTAGAAACTGTAATGAGATGTTGATTATCCCACACTGGCATTGACTCAAATGCAACAGCTCATGACACACAGGCCTGATAGTGACAGACTGATATAATTAATTTCCTCTTACTATCAGCCATATTTGTTATCAGTGGTATAATTCTAGGTCCTCTGGTATGTGGCTGTGTGCTCTTACTCCCTATGTTAAAGCTAACAGTAGCTTACATTGGTCTACTAAGATACACATTTCGTAAGTATTTGAATTTAGTTCTGTTTTTTATTTAGCCCTTAGCTGTATTTTTAATGTTTGCAGTTAATACATCTATTGAGGCATGTCTGGTGTATCCTTACGTATACTCACTGCACCCTGTCCCTTGCCCATAAGGAGGTAAACATCCACTGTATGACCACCTGTCCTCCTTCCTTTGCTCCCAGCAGTATGCTGACCAGCTGCTAATGAAGAATGCTATAAAGACCTCAGAAGAGTCCTGGATTGAGCAACAGATGCTGGAGGACAAGAAAAGGGCCACAGATTGGGAAGCCACTAATGAGGCCATAGAAGAGCAAGTGGCTCGTGAATCTTACTTGCAGTGGCTTCAAGACCAGGAGAAACAGGCACGACAGGTGAGAGGACACCAGACTGAGTCCGTAGGATTCTCCAGAACATTTCTTACTTTCAGCAGCAAAGTGGCATTACTGAAAGCAGTGTTGCCCAGGTAATGGGTTTGCTGTGGTCTCTAAAGCATTTGACTCATGTAGCGTTTCCTTGAAATGAAGACGCGATAATTATTTGTGATCGGTACATGGAAATATCCATACGTTGTTAACTTTCAGTTTTTATTTTTTATTAAATGGAGATCTCTAGGGGGTTCGGTGTGATAACACCGGAATTTTCAGAAGGGGTCTTAGGTTCACTGTTCACACCTTGGCATCTTAACACCTTGACCCCAAATTTGTCTTTCAGCATAAAGTGAAACTTAATGGATTCCTATAAATGGCCTCTTGACAATAACAGTGTCTTATATTTCTACCTTACCAATTGCATTTCTAACATTCAGAGGTGCCATTAGTTCAGGGGTGGCCAATCTTATCCGCAAAGGGCCGGTGTGTATGCGGGTTTTCGCTGCAACTCCCTAATTTGATTCCTAATTAGAGAACTGTTTATCAGCATCAGTGATCTCAACTGACTGACTGAAGAGTCCTCACACCTGGGTTTGAACAGCTGACCTACAGGTTATCCCAAAAGCCTGCATGCACACCAGTCCTTTGCGCATAAGTTTGCGCACATCTGCACTAGATGTTTTGAGCCCCTATGAAAGCATATCACATTGGGCCCCAACACGGACTAATGCAGTTATGTCATAAATTTTTAGGGCCCCTGTCAATCAGGGGCCCTAAAAATTTACGGCTACCCATGTAAAAGTGATTGACAAGAATTTAAATTGCTTTCTGATTCATCTGCATTGCCCTCCCTCATTTCTATCTGAAATCCCCTTTCTTCTGTGCCAAGTAAAAAAAAAAAACACGACCTAAGGTTGAAATATGTGTGTATCACTAAAGATGTTTTGGAACTTCTTAGAATTAGCTTCAGAACATGACTTATTCGACTGCTGTTAATCACTGAGTTTCCCATAAAGGCCATATCTGCTGAGTGCATGAAAGAGGAGATGCAGTGTTCCCTCCCCTCCTCACCCCCCACACCAACAGTCGTTCCCACTCTGGTTGTCCAGAACGTCCTGTTTCATTGTTTTTTTTTTTCCCCGGTGCCAGCCACGCAAGGCCAGTGCCACTTGTAGCTCGGCGACAGCAGCCGCATCTAGTGGCCCTGAGGAGTGGAGTGCCCGTTCTCCCCGCCAGCGCAGTTCGGCCCCCTCGCCAGAACACCCAGACCCTCCTCACCCCGATACGGCGACCAAGCCCGCTTCCCCAGCCGGAGCTGCCCTCATGCTGTCCAAACCGCCTTCTCCCTGTGCTCCAGGTGGGCCACAGAGCTATCTGTGCCATTCAGCCTGCTATCTGCACATCTGCCCAAAACACTGCACCTAAACTGGGGGCTTGATTGGTTTTGTTTTCTGTGTTCTACAGGTCCTAGCAGTCAGACCTGTGTGGGCCCAGACAGAGCCACTTCGTCTTCCTTAGTGTCCCTGTATCCTGAGCTGGAGTACCGTGCTATCATGCAGGAAATGGCACCTTCTGGATTTGGTAAGTCCCATTGAGACTAGATGGTCCCCAGAGCTGTCATTAATTTATTTGCTTAGATTCACCACTGTTCAGATGGACTCTAAGTCTGTTTCGGTGATTGCCTTGGCCTGGAAAAGGGACATGATTGGTCAGAATATGGGTCATGAATTTATCAGATCTGCTTCTGAAACTTGAAACTAGTATGCTATGTTATGAAAATGGCCACAGATGCTATTCTCTGTTTGACAACCACCTGATCTGTAAATTCTATGAACAGTTGTGGGGCTTGGAGCCAGAAAACATATAGTACATTTAAGCTTTTATTGAGCATTTGATGAGCTATGACAGTTTAACAAAAATCTCACAGGCCAGACCCCCTCGTAATTCAGTGCATCCTATGGCAATAGGAGTGGATGCTATGTATATGTCATTCCGAGATGTTGTCCTGTGATTTACATTTTGTTTGCAAATGCATCCCTTCAACAGCAGACTGGGAAGATGATGAGATTCTGGCCTCCGTCCTGGCTGTCTCACAACAAGAATACCTGGACAGCATGAAAAAGAACGCGACACACAGAGAGCCGTCTCCCGACAGCAGTTGATAGTGGGGATGGTGACGCTGGCGATGTCCACGGGGAAAAAGACAAAACTGAAACAAATGTTTTCTCGATCATGGTACCCACCAGTCACCTGTCCCAGCCCCCATACCTGCCTCTCCTCACCTCCCTATACAATATCATCATAATCATACTCTCCAGCTCCCCTTATAAACCCCTTGCCTCCATTGGACTTATTTAGGTGCATGTTTAAATAAACACAAACATCATCATAGAAAATAAAAAAAGAAAAATTGTAATAATGTCATACTTATCTTCTTAATGATTGATTAATATAATTTTGTTTTATCATTTTTGGAATGAAAAATACTTTTTTTTTTTTTCTTGGAATAAAAAATAAAAAACTTTCTGAAGAAGTAGTGTGTCAAGTTTTATCCCCCCCTTGCTTTCTTATAATCAAGTATAGTCAAGTGCAATGTAATTACTGAATTAGGCCATCTATGATATGTTAGTTGCCACAAATGATGTGCTGTGATGGTATGTAATGATTTATCCTAGTGTGTGTGGAGTCTCCATGATTCTTCTGGCTGCTCACTGTTGATTCTGTTGCTCACTGTTGTCTAAGGATATGTCATATGCTGGGAATCCTCCGGGGTCTGCTGGCAACCTTGACCAGAATAAGCAGTTAGGAAAGGGAACGATGGGACGATTTTTAGGCTTGTCTTCCTGAATGTGGTCAGCATGGATATGCATATTGAGAATCTGAGCCAGATGCAGTCCTGCATTCTTAATAGTAGGTTAAATGATACATTAAAAAGTTTGCAAGTAACGGATGCACTGAGCACGTCTTACTATTGTATGCTGATCTTAACACACAGAATTTTAAATGCAATACAGCCAAGTTGTCAGAATATCTAGTAATTTTTATATTTTGAACATATGAAAAGATATTTGCATATTTTTAGATTACCTTGTTTCTAAATATAAGCAAATGGTTTTATTTTTGTTCCAAACGACGCAGGCTCTTCGGCTGTTGCTCCCCTGTTTATTAATAATGACAAACGTAATGAATATTTATTTTTGCTCAGTTGATGTTCATATTACTATAAGTTTATATTAATTGTAGCTCGGTTTCCACCTTGACAGGAACCATGGTCGTAAATTACAGGGGGTGGGAGGGATGTAACCCCCCAATACTCTAAACCGGTTTATACGACCCCCCACTAATCAGCTCTTCACCTCAAACCCCCCATCCCCCCCCGCCCCCAAAGTTCAAACCAACGTTACGCCTTTGACAGGAATCTCAAGTCGTTTGCTGTACGCAAGACCCTATGGCAAGAAAGCAAACTCAACTTCTCGTCACTGTTGAGTAAATTTGTACGGGCGTTAGCTGAGCGGTTGAATTCTTAGAAAAGACTGTATTGAAAAATTTAATATTAATAAGTTTAAATCGTTCTGCAGTTTTATTGGATGTTTTTTCTAAGCGCTCGCTTCTAGCCAATGACAACAGGCAGAGCCGCAGAATGGGCGGTTCATCAAATGTAAACTTAAAACAGCAACAAACTTTTGAGTGCCGTTAGTACGCTGAGCGCCTGTGGAGTACTGAGGACTGCGGGCTTCTTCTTTCGGTTGTGGATTTTCAGAGTAATTTAAACCGATTCTCGTTATGGATTATAAGTATTAATCTAGAAAGTCTAAGAGGCGCTAAGAGTTTTGTTTTTTTACTTTTTTGTATTATTTTGAGCATTCAATTTGAAAAAATGTTGGACAAGCGTTTGGATGACCTGTACCTGCGCCAGGTTAACGACATAAAGGAAAAAGCTGGTAAATATACATTTGACTACATTTTTAGAACATTACACGAACCTAGTAACAGCTTAGACCGTTACTAAATTTTTTTTTATGTAGTAAACTAATATGAGCTCTGATTATCATTAGTAAAGTGCATGTGTAAATAACTGCTTTTGTTGTTTACTGTCCAGCAATTGTATTTTGTTTTTAACAACTTTCACACATGCACACCTGGCCACTCGGAAAGTGACTGATTATGCTGTCTTTTCAGTAGCGAAGGAACCCTTCGAGAAGACATACCACATGGGAGCCCTTCTCGGGAGCGGCGGGTTTGGGTCGGTCTTCGCCGGCCAGCGTATCTCAGACGGTTTGTCGGTAAGTTTATCGCCTTTCCGGCCGCTCGGCCCCCGCGCGTCTTAACCTCCCAACTTCTGTCGTCATTTTGGAAGAACATGATTTCTAAATTACACTATCTTTCCTTGCAGGTGGCTATAAAGCAAGTGCCAAGTGACCGGGTACATCAATGGGCACGACTGGTAGGTGTAATTTATTTCATTTGATGCGGTTTAAATGAACGTTGATTGAAATCTTTACAAAACACTCAAATTAACGTACACAAGTAATTACATTAATGTCACATTCTTCTTTGAAGCTTTAATTCTTTTTTTTAATGATTATGATTTTTAATGATAATGATTTTTTATTACTATACCGCTATAAACGGACAGGTAATTTGTTTTGATAAACTGTTAATATCAATATGTTAGCCTTTCAGTATGACGTTTACATGGGGGAAAAAAATCGTAGCTGGAAATTCCGTATGGGCCTCCCCTACAGTAACACAGAAGTACTCCCCCTACGGGAAAGTAGCTTAAAACAATACCACGGAGATACTGGGTTTTTCCGGCTGTGACGTATAGATGACGTAGTGAGACTATCAAAAAACAATCCTGAAAAACGGATTACGTACTTCAAAGAATAACGCCGTAAATCCTGTTCTCATTGCCTTTATTAATGTTCTTTAAGCATTGTGTTTTTGTGTATATTATAGTTAGTGTTATGAAAAATGTACCAAACAAACATTGTTTCTGAACAGTTTAAAGTTGCTGGCTTGAAGCACACAGGGTGAATGTCTTAAATGCTAAATTTGTGAAATGTAAACTGATAAAAAAAAATTCCACCCCACAGCCCAATGAACCTAATTTGGTTCCCATGGAGATCGCCCTTCTTCTGCAGCTGAGTGGGGGTCAGGTGTCCGGCCCTGTGCACTGTGGGGTGATTCGGATGCTGGATTGGTTTGAAAAGCCAGGGGAAGGCTTCCTGATTGTATTTGAGAGACCACAGCCATGTCAGGATCTGTTTGACTTCATTACAGAGCGCAGGGCCTTGGAGGAGCCACTTGCACAGAGGTAAGGACATTCCTTGGTGGATTCTCTGAGCATGCCCAGTGAAAAAAGCCATAAATGCCACATTGCAAAGTGCAGCTAATGATAACCACATTCACTCTTGTACTTTCAGGTTCATGAAGCAGATAGTGGAGGCTCTTCAGTTCTGCCATTCAAGGGGTGTCGTACACAGAGATGTAAAGGATGAAAATATATTGGTGGACACTCGTACCGGAGACATCAAGATCATTGACTTTGGCTCAGGAGCTCTGCTTAAAGATACTGCCTATACAGACTTTGAAGGTTAGTATAGTTTATTCCAGTCACAGGTATCCTTCGCAGCTTGTAAAAGAGATTTGTTATATTTATTGCACCTTGGATTAGTCTTTGTTGTAAAGATTTGATTTTTGCATCTGTAGAGGTCCTAGTAAAAATATAGTTGTGTCATGGCAGTATTGCTTCAGGAATGAAGTATGGTTTTGTTTTTTTTTCTCAGGAACTCGAGTATACAGTCCCCCAGAGTGGATACTGCATGAGCGTTACCATGCAAGGCCTCTGACCGTCTGGTCTTTGGGGGTGCTGTTGTTTGACATGGTCTGCGGTGACATTCCCTTTGAGAGAGACGGAGAGATAGTGAGGGCGAAACCCAGTTTCAAAAAGCGAATAACCAAAGGTAGGATGAATTAGCTTTATGGAAGTTGATTAACACAGCACGTAATGTTTCAGTCTTAAAATGAAAAGGGTAGCTCACAACTATTTTTTTCCCCCAAAAGAATGCCAGTCTCTGATTTGCCAGTGCCTAGAACTCCGACCTGAAGATAGACCAACCCTCGATCAGATATTGCGTCATCCTTGGATGCAGATGTCAGATGACTGTGGAGATTTGCAAGAAGGACAAAGTCTCATGTCAAGCCAGTCAAGCCTATGAAGTATTTTTCTAATGGCTTAAGGAAGCTTCAGCTGCCTAAGTAGTTCTCACTCTGATTTACTGATTCACTGTTTCTCACCTTGTCACTTCTATCTGGAGTATTTACTTTAAATTTCATTGAAAAGTCAGCTATAGATACTAAAGGTATAACATTATTTAAGCTCTTTTAGATGTTCAAGAAAACACTGACGGTACTATGACTGTGCAAAAAAATTGGAATTTATGGTATGGGGGAAAAAAGGATAAGTGTCACAGGCAGAGGAAATTTGTTTTAGTTGTTAAAAGCAAATATTTTCTCTGGCAACATATATCACATCAGGTATAACTTGTGTTTACTGGTGACTATTTATATGTATTTATATGAGTTTAATGGGCATGTTGAAGTTTCTGATACCAGTGAATGTCTTAAACGCCTCAAAATAGACTGGAAATACTTGTATATGATTATGAGTTAAAATTAATCTGTCATGTTTGGACCTGGTTTTACAGGTTATTTAAAACAATATTCCTTAATACCTCAGGGGGGAAACATAAGCATCATATTTTTGCAATCTTCAATATAATGTTCCATCTTTGCAAAAGTCTGGGACAGAAGTTCTATAGACTGGCAGTCATGTAATTTACCAGTGGTCTTTTACAGAGCTTGGTATAAAACTGCATTTTATATTGTATGAGGAAATGTGTTTTACTGTTACATTGCTGGAGGCATAAATGCAATCATGGGTGGTTATATTAGTGTTGTGGAGCTCAACCCAAGTGCCCAAGAAAGTTTAATTGTCATCAAACAATGCAATGTTTTTCTGTGCCTGTAAAACCAGGACAGTTGTGTAAAATATTTCTTAAATTTCCATCAAGGAAATGATTCAGTTTTCCCCCCTCAGGTGAATATTAAATGTTTATAAAGAGAACCAGAATCTGTTTTGTCACCTACTCTCTGAAACACTCCCTCATATTTCAGCCAGTTTCAGTCAACCACAAACTGGGTGAAATACTTTTCTGAGCTGTTTTGTAGATGTTGGTCATTCTGGGCCAAATCAGTCTACCTTATTTATTTATTTATTTATTTATTTTTGATAATGTGGTGATATATTTCAATTGCTTCTTGTTTCCTAGTTGTCTGATGTATTCTTCATAAATAAAACTTCGGCTATAATTATTTTTAAAATTAAACAGATTAGTTTTACACCTTTTTCAAGCAGAAATATCTTATACAGACCTTTTTTCCATTTTGTTGTGGTGCTTACCTCTTGGAATCTTGCTTCAGTTGATGTGCTAAAACCATGTTGATGCATTTTAGTTTTAAGATAACAATGGTTTTGCAGTTTCATTTGTTGCATTGATTGCCAGTGAAGATGTATCTGAACAGCTTTTGGACACTGAACCTTTGGCAAAGAGATTTGACAGTTCCACTCTCACTCTTTTAAAATTTATTTTTATAATAATCCTGGTTTATTTGCTGGGGTTGGTACATCTTTGATGTAAATACTTATGTATTGTTCAGTATGTGGCAGTTGCCACATTTGTGTTATTTTTAATAACAGATAACTGAGATATGAATGTGTGAAAATTTTGCTATTTATTAAAATGATTAATAATTTTATGGATCGCTGAATGTTAATAAAGTCTACCAAAAACAAATCTTTGGTTTTGCTGTTTTAACTCCCGTGACCATTAGAGGGCAGCAATATACTGATGTCTCACTAACTGCAACATTTTATACAGTACACAGTGCCCTCAACAATTATTGGCACCCCTGGTAAAGATGTGTAAAATGGGTTATAAGAAATTCACCTTTTGGTGAATTGGCTTAATCTCACAGAAAAAACTAGGAAAAATACCCCACATCTACCACAATTATTGGCACCACTAGAAATTATGACGTTTTCTCATTTTACGTTTTACGTTTATTTTATGTTTTTAAACTGTTGAGAGTGTGTAGGAACTTTCAAGGAGTCATATATGATTTTATGTTTCACTGTGGTAACACTGCAAATCTTATTCTTCTCACACCTTTATTAATGTTCTTTAAGCATTGTGTTTCATAGAGATGTATGTTATTGTTACTCAGTGTCATGAAAAATATGAAGTGACAGAGTTCCCTTAGTCATTATTCATGGGAAAGATAAGAGAACAAACAAATCAAAAAGTGTGTCGACCTTCATAAGTCAGGGAATGATTATAAAAAATAGCTACTCACCTGAAAATGACAATTTCTGCCATTAGGGTAACGATTAAATAGTGAAAATAAACTGGAACTGTTACCAACTTGCCTGCAGGAATATTCATGTTTACTTTGACCCCACATACAGTGAGGAGGATAGTTAGAGGCAAAAAATCCCCAAGGGTCACTGTTGGAGAGTTATAGGAAAAATTTTTGGGGTCACTGAGTCTCCAAACCTACTATCAGTTGCCTCCTCCATCCTTATTTGGAAGCCATGCCAGAAAAAAAAACACCTTTTTCTGTCATTTAACTGCAAATGTAAGTGTTTGGACTTTGCTAATCAGACTAATCAACACAAAAATGGTCAACTGAACACCAGTGGGCAATGGTAACCTAATAGTTTGGGAAGTGCCCTGGTAGTTGAATAATTGCTGGTTTGAATCCCTGACCAGCAAATTACTGCTCCCCAGGTGCAGAATTAACTGCCCCCTGCTATGTCATGATGTCACATATGGGTTAAATACAGAGGACACATTTCATTGTTGTGCACTGTGTGCTGTGGTATGTCAACGATGACTAATCACATCTTCTAATCTAATATAAAATCAAATTTCTGTAATGGCTGTCTCAATCCCCTGACCTAAATCGCAGTAAAAACCTGTGGGGTTAGCTGAAAAGGAGGGTGCACAAGAGGGGACCTAGGACCCTGGGTGATCTGGAGAGAGATCTGAAGAGGAATCGTCTCAGATTGTTTGCTTTAAACATGTGGTTTTATCAAAAAATAAGTACCGGTATATCTTGATGATGGATTTTTCTTCTCTAAATTTACTTCAATTAAAGGTTGGATTATTCCCATTTAAGATTAAGCTAATTGACCAAAAGAAGAATTTCTTCTAACCCTTTTTACTCATCTTTAACAGGGATGCCAATAATTATAGAGGCAACTGTAATTATATAAAGCCAAGAGTTTGTTCCTGTTTACTGCTTCACTCTCACCACGCTTTCAGCTACTGAGGTACACTATGACTGTTAATTGGCAATCACATAAGCATTAACATAATCATAAATTGCTGGGTGAATTTTGATGACTGGTACAAATTATGAGGCTTGTTTTTCAGGAGATGTGAGTGACACAGCCATACAACATGCATCCTTGTCATTTGGATTGTAACAGTTGTTTTGTTACTTTTCCAGAACTTTTATCTTAAATTTTCTACGGGATTCATCTTCATTAGATATTTTGTTGGATTTAAAGGAAGATAAAATAAACATCTGCTTGCTCTCACAGCCAACCTATTTTGTTGCACACATTGATGTGTTGTGTTGGGTTGGGTCTACACACACATATACTCCAAACCCTCAATGAAACTTGAAATGAACAGAAGTCATTGAATCGAATGGTCAAACTTCAAATATATATAATTTTTGCAAAAACAAAACCACTTACAACTTACTTTGTACCTAATTCCACATCTTTGGAAATAAGACATTTGTTTAATATTACCTGGTTCCACTGGCTGCAATTGAGTCTAATATTCTACATATCAGGACATAATAAAAAAATCATCTGGTCCTTACCAGGTTCTAAAACTACTTTGAAATGTTTAAGTCTTTAGCATGTGTATTGTGTGCTAGCAATATTGCACATAAGTGTGTCAAACACACTGTTAACATATTTTGCACATTATACTGCACATTATAATCATTGTTATTATTGCACATGAAAACAGCTTCTAATATCACATAAGTGTATGTTGAACAGTCTGACAGCACTGGGGTAAAAGCTGTCCCTGAATCTTGTGGTATGCATGCAGATTGTCCTGAATCTCCTACCAGAGGGCAGGAAAGAGAGAAGTGGCAGTGCGGGGTGGCTACAATCCTTCATGATGTGCTTTGTCTTTCTTAGGCAACGCGTGGTGTGAATGTCTTTCATTGCTGGGAGTAGACACAACTCCATGATTTGTCCTTCAAGAAATTCTGATGTTACTGTTGCTGTGGGACTCCTGATAAAAAATCTGTCTGATATATCTTGTTATCAACCTGATGAATATTTATTTCTAAGTAAAACCAGACAATAGGCGGCAGAACAACAAAAATGTTAACCATCAATTCCTTTCACAGTTATTTGAGAGGAATCAGTCCTCAGATTATCTTGTTCTTTGCAGGAAACTCAAAACTCCATGACAGAGTGACCTTTGGGTTCCTGCCTAATTCTGTGAGGCATGTCATATAAGCATTATTTTGTAAGCATGGTGTTGGCCTTATTATCCTTTATGATGGTGCAGGGCTGGAGATCTACCAACCTGCAAACTTTATGCTGCATTCCATTTACAGTTTAAATGGCCTTCATCTTTGTTCATTTACATTTAGCCCAGACAACCTTAAATCCAAACAAGTTATCCAGCTAAGCAAGAAATCCTGCTTTCTAGAACAGGCCCCAGTTCTAGCTAGGTTCAGTGTTAGCCATTGTTAGCAATAGCATTTTATCATAACACATTTCATGATATTTTGCACATAGCAACGTGTCCACAGATAGTGGTCGGACAGTACTGTACAACTGAGTTATTGAAACAAAAATAAGACATAAATGCTAATAACCGGTATATAATTACAGCTTTCACTTCTGTTGATAAAGGGTGCAGCCATCTTGAATTCTGAGGTTGGGGATCCAGAGGTTATAGTTGAAATTTTTGAATAGGAAATTTCCAACTTCTGAGTTCAAATGGAATGCAGCATTAGGTGCAGCCCTAATTTAACACGCCAGATACAGATAATCAGACTGGCTATACAGCTCTGCTAGGGTCACACACTGTCTTACAATCTCCAAAGTGACTTACAGTAGAAGGAAGGACGGCAATTGACATGTGCTTGTTGGGATTTGAACCCATAACCTTGGTGTTGTTAGTGCAATACTCCACTTATTGAACTATAGGACTTACATATAATTTGTAGTTTTAAAAACTTAATATAAATCAATATAAAAGAACAATGCAACATTTATATACACTGAAGTGAGACGTTAATGTCTTTTGCATTTGGGCAGAGGTGGACATTTCAGGTCCAGAAAGTAAAAATCCAAACCAGGATTTTGTTTCAACCAACCTGTTGAGTACTGGGACTCTTTATTCTCAACTGGTTGGTTGAAACAAAATCCTGATTTGGATTTTTACTTTCTGGACCTGAAATGTCCGCCTCTGCATTTGGGCAGCAGGCGGTCGGCACTGATACTTTCTGGCATTAGGGCTTTGAATTCTACCCCTATTCTGGATATGTGAGTTAGCGCATTCTTTCTGTATTGTACAGGTTTCCTCTGGGTATTCTAGTCTCTTCCATAGTCCAAATATGGGTATTTAATATAAAAGCAATATTTTTTTTATATTTAGAGTCCAGCTCAGGGGTGGCCAATCTTACCCAGAGAAGGCCATTGGGTATGCAGGTTTCACTGTAACTCCTTTATTAGATTAGTACTTAGAGAACTGATTGGTGAAGAGTCCTCACAGCTGGGTTTGAACAGCTGACATAAAGGTTATGCCAAAAGCCTGCATACACACTGGCCCTTTGAGGATAAGATTTCATGTATCTATACATAATGAAAGGCGTCATTGGCTGTTAATACTGAAAGTGACAGAAATGTCCAAAAATGTAAATCCGACTGTATTACAGTTAGAGCAGTTTATCAAATGTGATTTCTTTCTGTTGACATTAAGAAATCCTCAACCTACAGAAGTCTGGAACAGGTAGATCATATCCATGATCTGAAAGTTGGGGGGCAAACCTGACCATCATGCTCTCTGTACCACAGGAAGCTGGTTTTACTAAAACAGTAAACGGTAGCACAGTGAGTGTGCCCAGCGATGGGTTGGCGCCTTGTCCTGGGTTATTCCATGCCTTGTGCCTGCAGCCTCAGGACAGGCTCTGGACCCCCGCAAACTTGAATAGGACAAGCAAATACAGAAGATGGATGGATGGATGTTGGTCAAATATCTCAAAACATGTGCAACCAATGGCAATGCAAAAAGCACTACTTTTACATGGCCCTTTGTTGGATATGCTTGTAATCCTTCCTAGATCAAACTTCCAACCAAAAGTACAAAGGATCCATGAAAATATTATTTAAATATGCAATATTTGTATTACAGGTTGGATTCTGCTTGCTCTGCAGCATAGCTATATCTTTTTCTATTCCTATATGGCTCTTGTTCATCTTGATACAAAATGATTTTCTGAAAAGCTAAATATTTGCCTTTCACTACTTATTTTTATCCTTGTTCAATCATTCCTGCTGATCACAAAAGAATGAACTTGTCCTCATGCATATACAAAAACTTTTTCAGCAACTGAACATAATAGCTTGGTAGATGCACCCGACTTTGTCAAGTGGCAGCCTAATGTATTGCTTTTATCCGAATGCTGAACGTCAGTTATTATTGTCCGTTTATGACAAAGCCCCATTATAAAGTCACATCCAGGAAATTGC